ACTATCTGTACTTGTATCGCTATCTCTCACCACCACCAGTACCGTACTCGAGTCTCCACATCCAATTCCCCACGACCCATAAAACCCAAATTGAATGACCACCCAAAGAGCTTTGTGGCGGGCTTTGGGAGGGAAGTTGAGAGAGCGGTATGGGATAGATGATATTGAGGTTTTCAGGGAACACTTTGCTGTACTATTAAATTCAGGTGTGGGGGAGACAGGGCCTGATGGTTTGATTCGGCTTTTGAACTACCATATCGGGTGCCCGGGGACCGGGCGCCGTACACGCTCGTCCAGCTGGGCGACCTAAGTGGGACGCGCGCAGGGACGCGACCTTTTCGACCTGGCAACTCGCAGATTTTGGTCGGCTCGCGCGACATTTCATTAGAGGACCTTTGTATGGAACGTTTTTAGGTCGCTCGAGCGTCGCAGGAGCAGTGGCGACGCACTTTGTGGAGTGATGCACGTCCATGGAGTCCAGGAATTAACTTTGCGCGAGCAGCCACTCTGTATGGCCAAGTAGCAATCCAATTTCCATTCTTCGTAAAAAAAATCGGGAGCGCAACGCTACAGGAGCGTCCATATAATAATAGGACAAGGGGCTCCGCTCGCCAAAGTAGACTTTGACGTGGTGGCGTTAGTAGAACCAAAACTAACTCCAGAAAAGCTTTACGAAATTCATCAAGAATACGGTGAACCCAAAGATAAGAACAAGCGGAACCTTGCGGAACCGAACGCAATCGATCAACGCAGCGATCACTCATGAAACACCAAGAGATGCAATGGAGGCTCACTCTAGGAACCAGGATTCCAATGACAAAGAGGTTCGGCAGGTCAACTCGTCGGGTCAAGTCAAGTCGCATGTCGCACGAAGTGCATTTCCCACAGGACAACGTATTACAAGTGACCGATTATCTCCGACACTGTCACATTGACATGCGCCGCACGGTGGTGGCCTGGTGGGGCTGCGGGACCTCCGCGGGACCCCCGCGGTGGGTGGTGGGGGAGCCACCCTGCGGCAGCATCACTCCTGGGCCTGCCCCGTGGCCCTGAGCACGGTGGGCCAAATTCAATTGCAGATGGTTGCTCGGGTGAGCCGAGCAAAGCTCTGGCTGATGCAAGCGCCACCCCCTTGGAGGGCTGTGTGTAGGTTGTGGTAGTGTGTCCTGAGGTGCCTGTGTAGGCGACTTTCCCCGAGTCCTGCTTTATAATTTTCTGGTGCAGTTGTGATGCGTCGCTGTTGCTCCCTGTTTGGTAGTGGTGTCCCGGTGGGTGTCTCTGCATTTTTGGGTGTTCTGCTGGCGGGCTGTAGCTACTGTTCACTTTCGGGCATTGTGATGCGGGGATGCGTTGCACCGACCTTGCAGGGGGTCCACTGTAACCTTCATTCATTCAGTGTATGTGAAGAAGTGCATGAATTCTCGGTCTTAGAGGGCATTGCGTTATGTGTGTAGTGTAGGGTGTGCAGGATTTCACACGCAGCGCAAGTCGCGCGCCTGCCAGGGATTCACACGGCAGCCCCGGCCCATCATCAGATCACACGCAGTGCAAGTCGCGCGCCTGCCAGGGATTCACACGGCAGCCCCGGCCCATCATCAGATCACACGCAGTGCAAGCCGCGCGCCTGCCAGGGATTCACACGGCAGCCCCGGCCCATCATGAGCCTATGACAGCTGCCGCCACGTCAAGGCGACTTGCTTTGTGTGCTCGTGAGGCAGGGAGCTCTGTCCAGCTGCCGCTGCTTCTGATGGGGTGTTACACTGTGGGCGGCTCGCCCCGAGAGAGGACAAGCACCGGGGGCTATGACCGGGCCGAAACACAGGGGCGGGCGGGCGCGTGGCTCTAAGTCCGTCTGTTCCGCCGCGCTCGCCTCACCCCCTCACTCACGCCAACCGGGGCGCTGTCCCAGCCCCTGGCTAGGCAACACAGCGGACACAGAAGACTGCGAACCGAACTAAGCGAGAGCCGCATGAGAGGCGCCACACTTCTGCCTTCTGTGATTGCGCTAAACATGTACCCGTTTGGTACCTGCTGAGGCTTTGCTGCTTGACCATCCACGCTCTTCTCGCACGTGGGTTTGTGACCTTCACAGCTGCTCCTCTATCTGTTACCGCAATCGTGCTCGCTGCCATCGGAGCGGTTACCTTTCGCTAGTACCCATTCTTGCGTGAAACACTCTTATATCAACCGAGTCTAATACAATAACCAGCAGTGAATTTGACAAAATGTCCTGCTCTCATCCAAAGTCAGACCTGTGCCTAAACGCGAACGTAAAGGCACAATTCTTTGTCAATATGTTCTTCGTTAAACGTCTTACTTATAACACTCGTAGAAATTGGGAATACTTTAGTTTTTGGTGTATATGTGAGCTCGAATGGGCTGGGGACCGGAAGGCACATAAATTAGGTCCCTCGCCGGTCCCACGGTCGTACATTCCCGGTCCCCTGGCCCTAGATATGCCCTACATATCCCTATTGAGCTACAAGACTGCGCCGACGCACAGATGATAGCCCAAGCACAGGTAAGAGTGGATGCGAGGAGAGAAAACTTCTCAAGGGTCTTACAAGTGATGCTTTTGAGCTTTCACAATTTATGCCTTCAAGCAACGTGAGATGGTGTTTCGCTTACCGTTACGTGATTTGTGTTAATTCCGGTTTCGTTTCGCCATTCCCTTTTGCCATAAACAACTAGGCTCCGGCACAGCGGCAGTGGCGGCAGCAACGCGGGCTGGACAGGGCTGGAGCGTGATGGGGGGCGCTGTAGGCAGGCAGATGCCAAGTCTTCAGGGGAACCCATCTGTACTTGTTTCGCTATCCCTCATCACCACCAGTACCGTATCGCACATCTGTATATGCGTCGACCTGTATGTGAAAATGATGGGGTTCTCTGAGGCTTTCTCACGCCGCTGCTGCTGCAGCTCCTGCCATCGCTCCTATTGCTGCTGCCGGGGGATCCTTTCGAAGCTCACATGTGTGGCCCTGCTTGTTTTTGGTTGTTTTTGAAGGTACTGGGCTACGAGAATCGTGCCCTGGCCTCCCTGCTATCGCGCATTGTGGGCCTGGATGTGGGGCCGAGAAGGCGGCGGGGCAGCGGGTCGACTGGGGGATGCGGCCGCTGCCACTGGCCATGCTTATCACGTCCTTTCAAAAAGAAACCTGAGTTTGTGTAGGCCAGAATCCTCGGCCGGGGCCACGTAACAAGTTAGAAAGCAGCCGTTGCACTCAATCAGCCGCAACTAAATCAACTGTTGCAACGTGCCGGGGGGCCGATTGCATTCGGATCCTTGTTTGGACATGCATGCTTTCTCATCGGACAGATTTGACCCGATGAAGGCTGAGCGAGGTCTGCTTAACCATGACGTGATCATCTTGACTGAGACAAAGGCGCCTGTTGATTAGTAACACGCCAGGGAGCAACTGGTATTACATGGCTATACCCATTTCGCATGCACGAGGGCTCCACGCACGGGTTCTCGAAGATTGGGCGGTGTATCTGTGTTTGTTCGGAGTGAGATGACTTCCCATGTGCGAGAAGTAGGCCGGACAATTGCTCCGATAGGGGTGGAGGTTGGCTGGCTTCGACTTCATAATGTACTTCCCTGGAGGTCGGGGGCTCCTCATGGGGGCAGATAATTGCTCACCTCAGGGGTCAAGTGTGCACAATAGCACGGCACGGGAGTTCAGTGACGTCCCTGATGCAGTATTTGTCAGCATTACTGGTGAGCTCGACAGGCTGCGGTGTGCGGGCGATGAGGTGCTACTTGCGGGTGATTTTAATGCCCGTACAGCGACTACTCCAGATCTGCCCGAAACGTTCAGTGCAGAGGCGCATCCCCTCCTAGGCATCACGTGCGCGAATAGAGATGCCGGCATCAATTCTTGCGGGCGGCGGTTGGCACAGATGTGCTATGACACTGGTACCGCAATTGTCAATGGGCGGGTGCCCGGAGACAGGTATGGAGCCCATACGTTTTCTAACTCTGTTGAGTGTCGTAGTTCTATGAACATATGTATTGCATCCTCGAGCATCTAGACACCCTTTAAGTCCTGAATTTGTGGGGTGAGTTGAACGTCTTGAGCGATCATCATCCACTCAACCTTCGCCTGCACACAGCCGCGAGGCGTCTCTTCACGTCACCAGCGTCCCTTGCCAGCCACCAACACACATGTTCGGGTGCACCGAAGGGCCGCAGTCACCGATGGAGGGGAACCTTGTGGCGTAGTGGGGGACGGTGGCGTTTTGGAAACACATCGGTAAGGTTCCACTTCTACCCCATTTATGGGTGTGCGTTCACTTTTTGAAGGGCGAGCTCGTACCAGACGGAGCGCGGGTCTCCGTCCAATCTCTACGTATCCCTACATCCCCTCACATCTTACCCTCCCTACAAGAGTTGTGACATACATACATACATACATATGGGCAGACAGCACATAGGTGGAGAGGGGGCCCCGTGCAGAATGAGACCTACAGAAAACGATGCATCCCTCACTTTTCACATGGTCGTACACTTGCAAGAACCCGTCAATCATCATCTTTGTACGGAAACTTCTCATCTCGGTGCTCCTTGAGTTTTTCACGCAGCTCGTAGCAGTCGTCCCCCTTGAGCATGTCAGACAACCAGCGACACTCCACATCCATATTTACCTGTGTGGGGTGGGGTAGGATGGGAGGAATGATATGTGAAGCCCCAAGAAGCAACAGCGAAGTGGGTGGTGGAAAAGGGGATAGGACAGGGCAATTAGCCCGGCGTAGGCTGAGTTGGGTGGGAGGAATAATGAACAAGAGAGATTGGGGAAGGCTTCTTGTCAGCGAGATGAGCCATGTGCGCAGGGCAAGAGATGCAGTAGTAATTTTGGTACCTTCTCAAAGCTTCCTGTGGGAAAACAAAGAGGGAAGCGGAATGTGTGTGTGTTCTGCTGCATCCGGCGGTTCTCAGGTCGGTGGTCGGGAGGGTGGAGGGGCAGACGGCCGGTCAGGAAGAGGGAGAGGAAAACACTCAGCGCATGCACACACATACATACACACAAACACACGAAAGAACACATTTCGAAAGAAGGCGTTGCACCTTTCATTGTTCACTGCCTTCATCCTACATTCTCAAACTTTTTGCATGTGTCTAAATGCATACACGAGCAACAGGTACAGACAAAAACACCTCACTCCGATTGCCCAGTGGCCCCCCACCCCCTGCACAGAGCCAGGCAGTGTTTTTAAA